GGTTGGCCTCTTAAGTACTCCAGCCTTAGTCTGCACCTCGACCACGCGAGTGACGCCATCTTTGCCCGGGAAAGTCGCCACGACCCTTCCCCTAGGCCACGAATTTCTGGGCAGGGATCCGTCCACCACGAGCACCAGATCTCCCAGCTCTGGCATCTTCCCTCGACCTGTAGGATCTCGACGAGACTGTAAAATGTTTAATAAATACTCTTTGGTCCAGCGTGACCAAAACATATCTGCCAGCCGTTGTGTACGCCGCCAAATTCGCCCGTGATTTAAGTCAGCGTCAGCAAAACTCCCGGGTTGTGGAACCCTTGCTGGACCACCAAGAATGAAGTGTAACGGTGTTAAAGCTTCGATGTCCTCTGGTGAAGTTGATACAGGAGTTAGTGGTCGATTATTCACCACATATTCTGCTTCTAAAAGCAAAGTAAGCAACATCTCCTCTGTCGGGTGGCGTTCCTTTAGTGTTGCTGCCAGCGCCCTCTTCACTGACTGCACCATTCGCTCCCAAGCTCCTCCCATGAAAGGAGCACCTGGAGGAATAAAGCGCCATCGTATCGCCCTTACCTCCGCCTCATCTTTTGTTATTTTATGCGCTGCCCTCCTTAGTTCTGCATCAGCTCCGCGGAGATTCGTCCCATTATCGCTGTGTATTTCTGTAGGGCATCCCCGTCTCGCTATCATACGTCGCAGGGCCATAATTGCGCTATCTGTACTTAATGACCCTGCAATCTCTAAATGGATAGCCCGAGTTGTAAGGCAAGTAAATAGGGCAACATACCTCTTCTCATGGTGGCGGCCTACCGTAACGCTATAAGGGCCAAAATAGTCTAACCCCACAAAAGAAAATGGGCGTTGATGATGGGCCAACCTTGTTCCGGGGTGATCACCAGTGGCAGGCTGCGCCGGTTTTGCCCGTAGTATTCTGCATTGGACACAACTCTTCACAATACTTCGAGTAACCGTTCTCAATCGCATCACCCAGAAACGAGATCGAACTTCATTCATCACCGTATCAGGTCCTGCATGATTGTTTTTACAGTGTAACCAGGTGATGAACAAGCGGGTGTATCTGTGTTCACCATCCAAAATTGGAGGGCTTCGCTGTTCGTCGTTCAGATAGAGAGCAGCATCGATTCTAGATTTCAACCGAATTATACCCTCAATATCCATGATAACGTTTAAAGTCCGCAATCGACTGTCTCTCCTCAAAGGAAGCTTCTTCTGTAACGAAATAATTTCATTTTCAAAACTCTCATGTTGAGAAGCTTTCCACCACAAGCTCTCTGCTCTGATGATGTAATGAGGGTCTAACGGAATATAATTGTTATTTGAGCTATATGCCCCTGCTCTAGCTGAATGGGCGTTACGTGATGGTAATCTTGGTCGAGATGCATTCGGCTTCCATAAAATGTTGTCATTCCTCGCTTGCCGTTTCTGTCTAATTTGAACCGAAGCAATAATTTGAGTTTTGCGGGATAAGTCAATGAACTGTAAAACTCTACCCGTTGTTCTTATTAGGCGCATCCAGGACGAAAATCTGGATACATCAGGCAAGCCAGTTATTAGATGATTAATTGGACAACTGTCACTCGCTCTTCTCCTGTAGGTTGTACAGTTCCCGCTTCTTCTATTTTTTCCTTAGGCCACGTCTCTTCTGGAGAATATAGAAAACTGGGACCGCGAAACCATCGATGATCCCTATTGAAATTTCGAGGTACATCTCTAGTGGCATCATCGGCCACATTTTCTCCAGTGGGAATCCAGCGCCATTCACTGACTCTTGTCTCTTCCTCTATTTCAGCTACTCTATGTGCAACAAATGGCTTAAACACCCGAGGACCTGAGCGCAACCACGCGAGCACTGTACGAGAATCTGTCCAAAATATTCTACGTCTTGGTTTTAGATCATGTTCCGTTTCCACATTTCGGGCTAGACGGCATCCAAGCACGGCAGCTTGCAATTCTAATCTTGGTATAGAAACTAATTTTATTGGTGCCACTCTACCCTTTGCCATAACTAGTGAGACCTTCACATCTTCATTTCCTAATACAACACGCCAATATACAGCAGCCACATACGCCGTCTGGCTTGCATCTACGAAAATGTGCATCTCTAAATCATTGGCCACCGAAACACCTGGATAACAACGAGGAATGTAAAGGTTCTTTAACTGCCTCATATGACCTAGCCAATCGAGCCATTTTTCATGCAAATCATCTGAAAGAAGGCTGTCCCATAGAAGACCGAGGCGCCACGATTCTTGTAATATCCCTCTTGCGGGCAAAGTTATCGGTGTAATAAGACCCAAGGGGTCAAAAAGAGACATAATAACTTTTAGGAATTCTCGTTTAGTGGGTCGCTTGGTCCCTTCGAGTACGTCCAGATTAGCCCTTTTAATATCCAGATTAAAAGTAAGGTGATCATCAGTGGTTCTCCAAACTAGACCCAAAGTCTTTTCCAACGGAGCTAATGAGCTATTTTGAAGCTCGACTTCTTTACTTCTATACTGGAGTTGCGACTCCATCTCGGCTATAACTTCAAATTCGTTACTCGCCCATTTTTGTAAATGAAATTTTCCTTGACGGTGCACAAAACTGACCTCTTTTGCTATACGCTTGGCTTCTTCCACAGAATCAAAACTTTGGAGATAATCATCCATGTAGTGATTGCGACAAATTGCATCTGCAGCTTCAGGGTACTCCCGTCGATATTCTTCAGCATTTAAATTTTTAATGTAAATGGCAGTACAAGGTGAAGACGCCGCACCAAAAATCACTCTTGTCATACGATATTCTTGAGGTTCATTTTCGCGTCTATCACCACGCCATAAAAAACGCAATGCATCCCTGTCCTCAGTCCTAATTTTGATTTGAAGAAACATTTCACGAATATCTCCTGACACAGCAATTGGTCTTTGTCGAAAGCGCATCAAAACTCCAGGTAGTGATTGTAACAGATCTGGTCCGGTAAGTAACATGTCATTCAAGGATATCCCATTCGTTTTAGCAGCAGCGTCCAGAACGATTCGCGGTTTTGGTTTTGATGGATTAATCACAGCAAAATGTGGTAGGTACCAAGTGCGGCCAGAACGAGACGAAGGTAGGGCCTCCTCAGCATAGCCACATTCTAAAAGATACTCAATTTGAGCATTATATTCCATCTTCTGCTTAGGGTTTTTATCTAATTTCTTCTCAATCGCTATCAATCTTCTTAAAGCATTCTCTCTATTTTCTGGTAACTCCAGTTCTTCTTTGCGCCACAACAACCCCGATTCAAAACGTCCATCAGGAAGACGGTGGCTGTAGCTCTTTAATAATGACAACGCGCGTTCCTCTGGATCATTTTTTTGACGTTTTGGTTCGATTCCTAGTGAATCTATACTTAAAAACTTCTTGAACAAATCTTCTAATTTATTTTCATTCTTTTCATCTTCTTCATTATGATTTACCAGCTTTAATACACTAACTTTTCCAGGACCCTTAGTAGGCCCGTGCAATACCCAACCTAATTCTGTTAATAATGCAACTGGATCTCTGCACCCACCACTTCTTATCTTCCTCGAAATAATCAAATGCCAGTTGTCCTGGCCAATAAGAAGAGTAGGTGTACCTCGATCATATGTAAGATCCTCGGTTATTTCCAGAAGGTGATCACAACCTTCTATCATATCTGCATCCACCGATTGGTGATTAAGATTCAAACTATTTATTGTTCGTGCTTCTATTTTATGCTCCTTATCCATGTGAACACCATTAATATAGAGACTCACTCTCCTTGAACTGGAAGCCTCCATACGTGCTCCTGCCACCCCTTCAATAGTAAAAGACTCTTCTGGACCTGTAAGTCCAATCTCAGAAGCCACTTCTTTCTCTATAAGAGTGACCGATGACCCTTCATCAAGCAATGCAAATGTAGTCATGGTCCCTGAAGTGATTTAATAATAAAAGATATATTTCTTAAACAAGATGTTTATTTTACCGGACTCATTATTCAAAAGTCAATGACAAAAGTAGTGTTGCCAACATAATAATCAAACTTAGAACCAACGTTATAAATGTAGATACATTGCAGATTACTTAATCTTAACACCCCCTCTCAATGTCTACATTTATCTCAACAAAAAATAAAAAACTTAATACAACTTAATAGCCTCTCTATTTGTATCAAGACAGAAATTCAGTTTATGATACCATTACCCAACATGACATTTAAAAAGATGCCTTAAGATAATCTCTCTACCCAAGGCTTTTGTGAACATGTCTGCAGGTTGTTCGCTAGTTTGAACATACTTAACACATATTTTATTCACCGCCCCAATCAGCATCGCAATAGCCCTCCAGAACTATATCTTTACAGTTATAAGTTAATTTATAGTCTAGAGTACATTTGACATAACGAAACACTCTCTTTAATGCAGCTAGTAATGCATCATTTGCACATTTCTGGAATCTACTCAACATAGATACTGGAAAACACAAATCAGGCCTAGTGCCCGACACAGCATACATCAAGCAACCTATCATCTGTCTACATAACTTCTCAGTATTTTTATCTATAATATCACTGCTACTATCTAATATTTTTGCATTGAAATTGGGGTCCATAGGGGTCATCATGGGTTTACAATTCAACATGTTAAATCTTTCAAGAACATTTTTCAAATAATCTCTTTGAGTTAGTTTGGTAATACCAGTTTCCAAATTTTGATTTACATGTATTCCGAGAAAATCAGAAACCAGACCCAAATCCTTCATGTCAAATTCCTTATTTAGTACACTTTTGAGCTGTATAATTTCCTTTACATTTGTTCCAAAAATTAATAAATCATCAACATACAATAATATAAAAGTTTTATCATCCCCATTACACCTTTTATATAAACATGAATCACAGTTAGACTTTACAAAACCTTCCCTTGTTACTACAAAATTAAATTTAACATTCCAACATTTTGGCGAATTTTTAAGCCCATATAAGGATTTGTTTAGCTTAACTATATTATTGTCACCAGAATAGGCTCCTTCTGGCAACCTAATGTAAACATCTTCAGTTATTTCCCCATACAAAAATGCCCCAGTTACATCCATTTGGTATATAGGCTTGTTTAATTTAGTTGCTATTACAACAAACACTCTAAAGGTTGATAATCTTGCTACTGGTGCATAAATATCATAATAATCAAACACATCTTCTTGTTCAAACCCTCTAGCCACTAATCTAGCCTTATATTGTTTAACACTACTTACACCTTTCAGTTTAAAAACCCATTTGCTACTCACCACCTTCGTGTTCACTGGTGCATCACAATAGTCCCAAGTATTGTTCGCTTTTAAGGTTTGCAACTCTTTGTCTATAGCTTCACTCCATTTGCTAGCGTCTTTTCTACTCATAGCATCCTTGTATGTCACTGGCTCACTTTCTTCACTGTATACATTATTACACTTGTAGAATGAGGTTTGTTTTCTCACACGTTTGCTTCTTTCATTTAGGACTGGTGTTGTCTCTTCTGATGAAGTTTCTTCATCACTACAAGGTTGATATTCACTTACAGACACACTTTCACACATAGTGATTTCACAGCTATCTTCATCAAAGTTTGTAGGGGTAACTTCTGAGGTTGTTTGAGATTCTTCACCTCCATTATTTTCTTCCTTGGAGTCAAACATTATTATTGGTTCTCCCTTTTTATTCTTTTCTTGTTCCAAGAAAACCACATCTCTCTTTGTATCAACAGTATTCTTCTCCGAGAAATATATTCTATAACCCTTGATGTCTTCCCCGTATCCAACCATCAATCCTTTTTCTGCTTTCTTATCCCATTTCTTTCTTCTTTCTTTTGGTATATGTGCATACACTCGTGTACCAAATATTTTCAATTCATGAATGTCGAAACTTTGATTTGTCCATACTTCAAATGGTGTCTTCTCATTTTGTTTACTCTTCCCCGTCCTATTTAGCACAAATGCTGCTGTATTTACTGCTTCTGCCCATAATTTCTTTGGTAAGTTCTTTGCATACAACATTGTTCTTGCTGCTTCCACCAGGGTTCTATTTTCTCTCTCAGCCTTCCCATTTTGTTTAGGTGTATATGGTACTGTTGTTTGGTGTATAATTCCACGTTTTGAAAACACTTCTTTTAACTCCTTGTTGACGAACTCGAGACCGTTGTCAGTTCTAAACATTTTTATCTTATTCCCAGTTACATTTTCTGCCTTATCAATGAAATCTTCAACACAATTCTTTATCTGGTCTTTTGTCTTGACGAAATAGACACAACGGTAGTTTGAATAGTCATCCTTCAGTATAACGAAATATCTGGAGCCACCAACAGACACCTCCTCCATTGGACCGCAGGTGTCAGCATGAATGAGCTCGCAGGTTTTTGTGCTGACATGATCGCTTTTACCAAACGGTAACCGGTGTATTTTACCCTTCAAGCAGCTCTCACATACAGAAGAGGTTAGTTCTGTGTTTATGTCCTTTTGCTGCAATACTTTTCTCACATGATCGAAATTCTGATGTGCTAATTTTTCGTGCCACTCATTTAAATCATTGTTTACTGTTTTATAGCGTAAAACCATGTAATAAGAGTTCCCAACACGTTTTGCAATCGCACAAACACTATCGTTTTTGTAAAACTTGCACGAACCGTCATCTGTCATCATAACGTATCCTTTGTCTATGGCACGATTTACAGAGAACAAATTGGTTTTCAATTCCGGAACGAACAAAACGCCATCTAACGTAGTGTCAATCCATTCAGTGCCATTATGCACTTGCACCGCCATCTGTCCGCAGCCCAACACACTTATCGCCGCTCCATTACCCACGATAACGGATCTTTGAGAATCACTTGAAAAACTTGAATAAGACATAAATAAAGCACGGTCGTAACACATATGTTCACTTGCCCCAGAGTCCACCAGCCACTTGGATTCTAGATTTTGTCCACTCGACACAACAAATGCATTACTTTCTTTACTCTTTTTACTATTCTTATTGTCTTTTGTCATTATTTTATTCTTCCTGAACCAGCACTGCGCCTTACAATGTCCAGCTTTGCCACAATAAAAACAGTTATTATTGTTCATTTTTTCTTCACTGTTATTTTTATTGTTCTTACTTCTACACTCACTTTGAACATGTCCAAGCCTCCCACAGTTGAAATATTTTACACCACTCCTGTTCCGGGCAACAAATGCAGATGATGATGCCTGCTCTGGATCATAATTCTTCTCCTTCACCCTTTCTTCTTCAACTAACAACCTGGCCACTAAATTGTCAAATGTTTGCTTATGGTCAGGTGCAGACTCCCACGCTGAGACAAAATGTTTGTATTGGTCCGGCAGAGACATTAATATTTTTGTTATAACAAGCTTGTCGGAGATCTCTTCACCCAATTGCTTTAACTTGTTTTGCATTTCTTGAATCCTTGACAAAAATACTGACATCTCAGTCCCCGCTCCATATTTATATTGAAAAAATCTCTGCTGTACAATATGAATACTGGTCTCTGACTTTTGCTCGAATACACTTTGTAGTTTTGTCCACATGTCAGCCGAGGTTGTACAAGAAATGATGTGTAGCATAACATCTTCGCTCATTCTCGTCACCAACAACGTTTGAGCTTTAGCATCCTTTGCTTCCCAGGCAGCTTTTTGACCAGCTTCCTCTGGTTTTAAAATTGTTCCTTCGACTATGTCCAGCCAACCATAACCTCGCAAGAGTACGGTTGTTTGAAATTTCCAGATGTTCCAGTTTCTGGAGCCTTCCAGCTTAATAACACTGCTGTTGTTGCTTCCCTCCATCTTGCCTTCCTGCCTTGACCTGCTAGGGCAAGTATTCTTCCTTCTCGACGGGTACGCGTGTCGCGTTGTTAGGTACACTTAACCTTACTTTTCTTCACGCCGATATTTTAACGCCGATATTAACATTTGGCGCATATTATTAAATCACAGTTACGGTTTCGTGTCTAGGCGCACCTGGGCCCATAACCTGAAGTGATTTAATAATAAAAGATATATTTCTTAAACAAGATGTTTATTTTACCGGACTCATTATTCAAAAGTCAATGACAAAAGTAGTGTTGCCAACATAATAATCAAACTTAGAACCAACGTTATAAATGTAGATACATTGCAGATTACTTAATCTTAACAGTCCCCTTGGGACCTCTCAATCTTACTGGCACAATCTTCAACAAAGCTCTACCAACTTTCTGTCGAGTCGCAGCTACAACAGCTGATTTTCCTGCTGGTTCTACTGGCGTCTCTGAGGGAGACGCTGAAAAATGCAGAAGTGAATGATGAGACGCCTTGCAGCCTTCGATCCCACATGGCTTATAGGAACACCTATGACGATGATTGCGACGTCCTAAACATCTAAAACACAGGTTCAAATCTTTAGCCTTCTCCCATCTACATTTACTCTCCAAATCTTTGAACTGTTTACAGTCTTTTATGTGATGTAAATGATGACAGACAGTACACTCATAGCTCTGTTTCTTTGGCGTTATAGACGTTCCAGGTGTTGCAGTAGTAGATGTCACATTTGTTAGAAACGGTCTTCTTTATGATGACGAGTGATGAACATTTTCAACTTGAGCATACCGACTGCAAAGGTCCGCCTCGCGGGAAAAGAAAGAAGACAATTTAACTAAGTCCGCCTCTTCCTCAGGTCGCCTCGCAGCGTAGTCATACCACCTAATAGATTATAATTAACAATCGCAGATAATTCATTACGTTTCATGTGTAATCTTGTATAGTCTTGTAAAATCTTTATCGTGCGGCCAATATAAATGGATTGATTGGTCAATTGAATACTGTTAGCTATTTGTATGATCCGAGGACATATTTGGAACAAAATGAAAGCAGGAAGATTATTCGCATAGAATGGGCAACATCTCATTATTTTCGGCTTTATACGATGACTGTTGAGTATATAATACTTCTTACGGACAGTCATGAGCCGCAAAGATAATTTCATATTGATTAAATTTAAGATAATTATTTATGAAAAATTTTTTTTATGTAACTCAAAAATTGGTGTCTCTTTATCAATCTGTACACTTTTCTGATCGTTCAGAAAAGTACCTGTTGAAGTAAGTAACTTCAGAAACTGTACCTCTTTATAATATTAGTAAAGAATTCGACATGAGCCACTGGGGCCTTTGGGCTTGTCAGCGGTGAGAGAGGTCGAGGTTAAAGGAAGTCACTACCTAATGGAAGGATTCCTTAGGTTAGAGAAATACCACACTTTCCCTTCGTCCACAATTAATTTTATTAATACGATAAAGAAGTATTTTCGTAGCCTTTCAGCCGACTCAGAAATTAAATCCACAAATTCAAATTCATAATGTTTATGAATGAACGACTGACCTATCTCGAATCTGTTATATCACAGATTACATATATAAAAACCCCATTAATATTCAACACACTTCAATTATATTCGCTGTATCAATGGAAATTTATATTATGTTAATATTTCAATAAAATTGCAATAATCGTACATATTATGATATTCTTGATATCTATCGACAATCAACATCGAGTAGCTATTTCTTATGACTAAGATTGTGTTATTAACTAAATACATAAATAAAATAGCACCGCCATTTTGTTTTATCTTTTTTTCATTCTTAAACTTGTAACACGTTGACACACTAGAGCAGTGTTGGCCTAGTGGCTTCAGCGTGCGACTCTCATCCCTGAGGTCGTAGGTTCGATCCCCGGCTGTGCACCAATGGACGTTTTTTCTATGTGCGCATTTAACATTCGCTTGACCGGTGAAGGAAAACATCGTGAGGAAACCGACATGTCTTAGACCCAAAAAGTCGACGGCGTGGGTCAGGCACAGGAGACTGATCACCTACTTGCCTAGTAGATTGAAAAATGATCATGAAACAGATTCAGAAATCCGAGGCCTACCACACCCCTATCGAGGTTGTGAGGCCACTAATTATTATTATTATTAAACTTGTAACACTATCTATCAGTTTCAACTTTTGACAATTGACATGGTTAAATGTCGTCTACATTGGGACTTGTTATTTTTAAACGACGTCCAAAACTGAAGAAGTTTATCAATTCGATGTTTTATTTTTTTGTTAAAATCGGCTTAGAAATGTCGTTTGCTTGAAATTAGTTTTAGACCGTTATTTGGTTAATTTTTAGTAGTTAAAATCGTAACACGAGATGTCTTTTGTAATATGAACCTAATACAAGCCGTACCTACGAGCACAGTCCTAATTCCTAAACCCATACAGAATGTTGATAAAATTGTTACACCTAAACGCTACCAAATGTATGTATTCATTACAATAATTACAGTACTTATAAATAAAGCTGGAAAGGGTATTTGCATAATTATGTATACCAGTGTTACATCGCATATCACCTTATACATAATATGTGTAAATGTATTAAGTTAGAAAAGATAATAATATAATATAATCAATCAAACCTTTAACCACCGATGTTAATTATGATTAATGATATTTTGTATGAAATAATTTAACTATCAGGGTATATATTTAATAATTTATTTAATACAAATCTTAATTATATTTGCCCAAAGCTATATAATTATCCTTATCTGAATTCACAATCTTTTATAATTTACGAAGAATTCACAATGTTTAACTCATAAAGATTTTCGGTATGTATTGAATAAATCTAGTCCGGCAAGGGTAGGTGCCATAAATTACTCTGTTTATCAGGGAGGGGTGTGGTTTTGCAGTTTATCGAGCCCTCACAGAGGGTGAATTGATACAGAGGGTCCTCTGGCCAGCCGTTGCTAGGTAACGGCTTACCGTGACATTTCGCCATGCTTAGGCAATAAAGTGTTTGTCTATAGCACACTTTATATCGTTAAAGATAAATAAATAATACTTATGATGGGATAATATGAGATATCAAAGTACAGTACTTCAAAAATGGAATACGATTGTGTGAATCAAGTTTTTCTTTCTTTAACACTCGCGTGTTCCTCTTTAGTCTTTTGAGTTCATATTAACTTTATCGCAAATTTTAAAGCAATAATGTAGATAATCCAAATTATATAATTTTAAAGAGAATTTTAAAGATATCTTTCCTTAGATTTTTCACAAAACAAAAAAATTATTCTATAATCGCATAAGTATTACAAATGCAAAATCAGAATCGGTGTAACAGGAAGAGTCTTGATACTTGTCCCGTTCCTTTTTAAAAGTTTGCGAAGTATCAAGTTGCCTCGCTCCGAGTTTCGTCGCGTTTTCCATACGCGGTCAAGCGGATTTTTCATAGACTCACGCAAGCAACTCTCGTCACAAAATACCTTAGGTCTTAGTACCACTGTTACAGAA